TACCCATTCAAGCCGACTCCAACCGTTATTAGTCTCAAAGTGGGTTCCTCGTCATCGAATTTAAACCATGTAATAAATTAATGAAATGTTAAATGATTCATGTCGAGTCAATCATCCTAAAAATACGATACCCTACAACCCGAGTGCTTTCTAGAGGTGAAGAAGAAAGGTCCACCTTTCAATAGAGCTTGGGTTATAGAGTATCGTATTTTTCTAACATCATGGATGAGTCAGTTATCCCGATTTTTACTGGGATGACAAGAAGTCTGGTCACCAAAGGATTGACGAAATGTTTAACATTTTAATGATTGTAGTAAATCTTATGAATTTGAGTTTTTCCAGACCAAGTGATTTACTTTGGTTTAAAGAAATGTTTGAATCAGTTTTTCAAAACAAAATTGTTTTAGTTTTAAGCTTTATGCATAATTAGAGAGGGAGGAAATAATATATTACGATGTATTTCTTTTCTGAATACTCGGTAGGAACTTAGGAGTTAACTACTCGAAGTACACGGAAAATAGGTCATTTTCCTTCGCTCTGCTCGTGTTATAATATGTACAGAGTAGTGTCAATAAAAAAAAAAGTATAACTTTGTTCAAATATGGGGGTGACTTCCGGATGGAAGAAAACCATATTACATAATCCAAGAGCTACGTCTTATGTACGGAACCATATTACATAATTCAAGAGCTACGTCTTATTTAAGGAACCACATTACATAATCGAAGAGCTACATCTTACGTACGGAACCATATTACATAATTCAAGAGCTGCATCTTATGTACGGAACCATATTACATAATCGAAGAGCTACATCTTACGTACGGAACCATATTACATAATTCAAGAGCTACATCTTATGTACGGAACCATATTACATAATTCAAGAGCTACGTCTTATTTAAGGAACCACATTATAATGTTAAACTGACAAACAACGATTTATATACACGATAATGTGGTTTTGTGAACATAATACATATTTCGAAGAAAAAGACATGCCAATGTTATGTCGAAACTTGTGTAATTTTCTCCAAAATAAAACCACTTCATTATTCTTATAAATCGTTGTTTGTCAGTTTACTACTAAGATCAACATAAGATAAGACACTGTGTTCGTGGGTATAAGATGGCTACACTTTATCTACATAAGATAAGACACTGTGTTCGTGGGTATAAGATGGCTACACTTTATCTACATAAGATAAGACACTGTGTTCGTGGGTGTAAGATGGCTACACTTTATCTACATAAGATAAGACAGTCTGTTCGTGGGTATAAGATGGCTACACTTTATCTACATAAGATAAGACAGCGTATTCGTGGGTGTAAGATGGCTACACTTTATCTACATAAGATAAGACAGTGTGTTCGTGGGTGTAAGATGGCTACACTTTATCTACATAAGATAAGACACTGTGTTCGTGGGTATAAGATGGCTACACTTTATCTACAGAAGATAAGACAGTGTGTTCGTGGGTGTAAGATGGCTACACTTTATTTACATAAGATAAGACAGTGTGTTCGTGGGTGTAAGATGGCTACTTTATCTACATAAGATGGGCTACGGTTTCATAATGACCTGCAACGTGTCGGAAAATATATTTAATTTCAAGAAATTACAGAAACCGCACGCTCTACCGCCTATCGTTTTCGACGTGTTATACAAAGTTTCAAATATTCTGTCAGTTACTAACAGATTCACGAAACCAGCATACAACTCCCTGCTATATTACCACTTCTTCCTGGCTAACATCGTTCGGTCACCTAGTACATTGACCTTTAACTCCTCGTTGTTTTTTTGTTCCTTTCTTCGCTTATCTTCTGTAACCCTCTTGTTTAAAGTTACATGTTGGACACTGAGCGGTTACATTTTTCGGCACCTGCCCGGTGAAAGTGGATTGTCCAAGAGCTACATCTTATATTCGAAACCATATTACATAATCCAAGAGCTACGTCTTATGTACGGAACCATATTACATAATTCAAGAGCTACGTCTTATTTAAGGAACCACATTACATAATCCAAGAGCTACGTCTTATGTACGGAACCATATTACATAATTCAAGAGCTACGTCTTATTTAAGGAACCACATTACATAATCGAAGAGCTACATCTTACGTACGGTTATGTAATATGGTTCCGTACATAAGATGTAACTCTTGAATTATGTAATATGGTTCCGTACATAAGATGTAGCTCTTGAATTATGTAATGTGGTTCCGTACATAAGATGTAGCTCTTGAATTATGTAATGTGGTTCCTTAAATAAGATGTAGCTCTTGGATTATGTAATGTGGTTCCGTACATAAGATGTAACTCTTGGATTATGTAATATGGTTC